TTGAAGATTTTATTTTTCCAGTTATGGCAACGTATCACAAATGTTCTGCTGTTGTTTACAAACAACCAAATGAGGTCTGTCTAGTGTCTTACAGCATGCGATTCAAATTTGTAAAGCTCACAGGCAACTTAAAAGATTTTCAGGCTGTCAGCTGGCTGTGATTTGTTTTAAGTACTTGTATATCCTTGTGCACACACCCAATGTAGAGGGAGTAGACCATCTATATCTACCATGCATAGTTAATGATAAGCAAGACAGATAAAAGATATTTACACTAATTAACAAGCCTAACAGTTGCGATCTGGCAGATGTTCTAGATCTCCATACGTGCTTCAATTGAATTTATTTTATATTTTTAGGTAACATCAGTTTATGCTTGGACTACATGGATGGCCCTTCTTATGAGGGAGAAAAATAAAAGGCAGAGTAATGTTCTTGTAACTATCACTGCGCTGTCTGCTGCAAGTGAAAAGAATGGAAATGTTTTCTCATGGTTGTTGTAAACCTCTGTAGGTGACGTTAAGGTTTTTCAAAGTGACTAGTGAGTGAGTTCACTTTTCCTGACTAGAAAAAGTGTACTAGGAAATTGCAGGATTGTAGTCTAATTATCTGTTAGGAAAAAATTTGCTTTCTGTAAGGGTTACATGAAAATAAAATTTGTGTGAATATAAACATCTAAATAATAAATACTACAGCGAAATATGTTGCATAATAACGTAATGGTTGTGTGTGGTAATCCAATCAGGAAAGATACTGGGAGTAAAATTTTAGTAACTTTTGTTGATAGAATTTAGAGCTGCTAAGTCTCTGTTTAGCTTCAGTGCTGCAACTGAAATTTATTGCAAGTATCACAGAAGGAGATAACATGTTGGCTTTTTTAAACATGCTTTAAATCTTTGTCCTAATGACCGAAAAGATTTGAATTTTCCTCTTGTCCATGATCTGATTCTGCACATGCCACTATGTGAAATGACTTCCTCATGAAGAGCAAGGCAAAGGATCAGGCTGGTGAAATTGTGTGTTTTTCAGACCCTCTGGGTAGTACCACAATAATTTTTAAATGAAAAGTGTGTGCTGGAGCTTGGGTTAGTCAGCATACATTCACAGAGATGGAAAGGCTGAAATAGAGCTGCTGTCTTGAAGGTACTGAACTAATGGAGTGCATTTGAGCCATCCTGATGCAGGGCCTTAAAATGGCACCAGCTCTCTGACCTTTTACAACGATGGTATTGAGCAAGTCTAAAAGATCAACTTACAGGTAGACAGACATTTAGGTACCAAAATTCATTAAGGAAAAAGTCAGTGTTTCTCCTTGTACCTGTTGTCCTGTTGAATAAAGAGGTGTTTTTTCTATAAACTAGAAAATTCTCTGTAACTAATGCAGGCTGATTGTGAAAGCAACATGTAATCTGAGTATTTGCATTTGCTAAAGAACATTCTGCTTTTATAGGAACCATTGACATTTCAATGGGGAGAAATTTCTTCAGCTCTAGGGTCAATCTGTGTATCAGAAGCTACATCTTAGTACATGTAATTTCACAGTGGTTGACCATCGGGTTAAAAATAGTCTTGTTGACCACACACAGTGCAACTTTTTAAATTAAAATTTAGCTGTGCCTACAGCTACGGTATTATTTGTTAAAGTTAGTGCTTATAGATAACCAGCATTTGGGGGAAGGACTTAAGACTCTTAAGTGTATCACTCCTAGGGAAAGGACATATCGTTTTATAACAGTCCTGAGTAGTTTGTCCCAAATGCCGGCTAATACAGCTGGAAAGAGTGGTTGGCAAATATTTTCAGCTTCAGAAAGATCTGTAAGTCTTCAGAAAAAGTGAAGTAGCCTTTTTGTTTTCTGAAAAGGCCAAAAAAGATGGTTTATAGAATGGATAATAAAAGTGTTTCAGCTGGTATTCTGTATAATAAAGTCTGACTTAATAGGCTTTTAGATTTCCTTGCTATTGTAAGGACGAAGAAACTGTTGGAGAGGAGAAAATCGGTAGCTGGGGTTGCTCGAGGTTTCTAACCACGGTTCAGTGATGTATTGCAGTAGTAAAGCCCAATAGAGCTAATATGTAATAGAGAAGCACTGAAACTGAATGCTAAAAAAGACTACCATAGTTGAGTATGCAGTACTCTCCTCTTTTCAAAACAAACAAACAAAACACACACACTGCAGTAACACATGCCTGTCCTGCCATGAATTAACAGCTTAGGTTTTATTTTCTTTAAAACAAAAACAAACCCTAAGCATAGATTTCCAGTGTTCAAATCAAAATTCGCTGTTGCTTGGTATTGGTACTAGGATAGTATATTCTGTGTGGAATTCTCTTTGGAGAGAAATGCTGCATAATACCCATTTGCATGCCCCAGGACCAGGTGCAGCTGCGATTCCTAGAAGCATAACTGTGCAGCTACGACGGATGTGATGGAGAGGACGTGCTGCGATGAGCTACTCTTTTAATGCTGTTGCTGCTCTTCAGCCCTGGCTCTTTATCCGTGATTGCTAGACGTGGCACGTGGTTCTTCACACTCCAGTACGCTATATGTTATGTCTGGTGTATGTCAGAGACCTTGCATCAAACTGCATACTGTGAAATGAAGCATGTCTTTTTGTAGTAGCAGAGGACTTGGCTGAATCCGCTTTTTCCTGGGGAAGGAGCGGTGGGGGGAAAGGAGTTCAGGCACTGTAGAAACAACGTAGCATAGCGTTGTTTTGATAGAGCATATGAATTGATTGTACACATGCAGAGCTTGGTACTATTTTGTGTAATTCTTATTCCTGGAATAGCTTAATTAACTCAAATATTTGTAGACTCACACCTTCCTTTTAAATTGCTGAGGTTCGTCACACGAGATGGAATTATTTGCATGAGGAAATATTGCAGTGTCAAGACATCTTATTTTTTCTACTTAACTGTGAATAGATACAACTGCTTTTGCCTCACAAATTTGCTGTTTGCCCATATATTGATTTGTGTTCTCTAATTAAAAGAAAAATGTTAACCGTTACTGCTTTAAAAATAAAACACTGAGGGATTAATTTCCCCCTGCCTCCGGTACGTCCACTGAATTGTCATCTTTCCCCATATCCTTCCACATCCAGGAAATCATGATCAAATAAGGAAAGTGTTAAATTAAATAACTGTTGATAACTTTCACAAATGCTAACGCTCTAATGTGTAACTAATGGAGAATTTATGGAGATTTGTTGTTATATTTGAAACATGTTTCATTGTTGTTACAATAAGAACTTCTTTTAAAAGATTGTTAACGTTTTCCTAGCCTGCAATGTTTTTTTTGACATCCTAGTCACTGATGACCAAAGTGCAGTTGCTAATTGAAGAGGTCAGGTAATTCAGGTAAAGACTGAAGTATAACCAAACTACTTCATATCACTTCATATCTCTTCCAGAGTTCGTTCTTACCTACTATGAGAACTATGAGAAAGGAGTTCACCAAGAGAAATAATATCCTATTCCTAGGATTTATAGCCCTGTTAGTTTTTTCTAGCAGGAAAGTATTTCCATGAAATGTCCACTACAGAAATAGTGTGCCTGTTCTTGCTGTCCTTCAGAAAAATCCTGAGTCAGCAGGATGGGAACCGGGTGGAAAAAAACAGTGGAAGCATAATGCTTGGCAGAAAATAATTTAAAAAAGCGTAGATGTGCAGAAAAAAGAGAACAGAGGTCTTAAAAATCAAAGTGTAAAGCAAAAGATGCTTCAAAATACGCTATAGAGGACATACATATTACTGGCTTAAAAACATATACAAAAAAAGGTACTATTCCCAAGAATAAGCCCAAGAAACCTCATTTTAAATGTGCTTTCCTTTTCTTCCCAAGGGGACGTATGCCCAGACCTCTGTAGGAAATCTGGCTGCCAGCTGGCATGCCACCTTTCAGAGAGACCTTCTTTTGTATTTTCAAAATCTGGCAATCTCAGCTACCACGATCTGTATTAAGCTGCCGTTTGTAATATCTGTTAAACTACGTTTTAATATTTAATTTTAAATTTCTTTGCCAACCTATAATGAAGGGCCAGGCTATTGAGAGCTTTCAGTAGTGCCAGAAAAAGTCTTTGAATTTAGTGGGGTCTGTGGGTCGCCTTTTTTGTTTTTTATTAATTTCCATCTTTTGGCTTTTGGGGGGCTCTTGGATATTAACTTCTACAATGAAATACTTTGTTCACGTATTTTAAATCTGTATTGAGAAGAGACTAGAATAAATCCTTTGTAATAGTAGTAGAATTCTGGCATATTCACTTTAGTGTTAAAATTGGAGACAAACTTGCTTGGTGCGCTGACTTTCTTTTTTTTCCTAGGGTAGAAATCTGAAAGTGTTGAGTACAACACTATATTATGGAAAGATTTGTCCAGGTACCTATAATTTAATGTGGGATGGCAGATTTGGTTCTCTTGCTACAACTTGACCTGCCGCAACAAATTTTTCTAGCTGTCTCTGGGCCAGCTTGGGGAGCGTGCATAGGGAACTCTGTTGGTAGCAGGCAGAGCTGCTCTTGCAGAGTTCTGGTGATGACAGGCAGCCCATTTATGTTAATTTAATACCAGGAAGAAAGTCACCGCAAAGCTGGAAGAGGCAAAGTGGCCACTGCCGTGTGGCAGCCACTGGTTCAGCATGGGTCTGCTTCAGTATGTACGAAGCGTAACTCTCAGCTTTCACTGATTTTCATCTGTTAAACCTATCCCTCTGTAGAGTCGGTTGGTTTTTGTATCCACTAGTAGCCAGTGTTCACTATTAATATAACTCTCATTGGGAAAATGGATTTGTTTTGGGTGTGTTTCTAGAATGCTATGTAAAACTATTTGCATTAGAAGAAAAAAAACAAATATTAAGTTCAGTCATTGCGAATTACTGCATACAAGGCTTAATTGACATGGATTCTGTAGTGTATAATAATAATGTTGAAAAGTTTGTCATTTTTATGAAGTTCATTAGTGTTTCTTTGAATTTCCTGTTAATACATTTTCTATTTTATCCAGCTTTCCGTTGTAGCCTCCAGTTTCTTGGAAACATTGCAGCAGGAAATGGAGATTCCCAGAATAGCATTTGGAAGTGTGCTTTCCCAGATCTCTTCTTGTAAGCATGGGTGCGGGTTTTTTTATAGTATAATTTCTGTGGTTGTATTTAAATCTTCTGTACACGATGGCTGTCCTTCTACTAGCACCATAAAGCTTTGAAAAATAACTTTGGGGAGAATGGGACGGTTGAGACCATATCCTGTAGATGTTTTTTTTGTTAGCCAACCACAGAGGTCAGGACCTTTAAAGACCTGCTTGTTCTAAACTCTACAGTAGATTGATTTCATTTAAAAGAAACTGGAAGAAAAATCGATTTTTAAACGATGAACTTCAAATGTAAGCCTTATTTCGGTTTTCGGAGATGTTTTCATAATAGTTATGCTCTGATCCTTTCCAAGAACATAGCTTTTCCTTTGTGCACGTTGCTGCTGTGCAAACCTGTTGGTGTTTGGGATCAGATGGAATGTACAAAGGTGACTTAATCTTTGTGTCTTCCAATCCCTCTGCCCCCATCCTAACTGTACCAATATTTCATTCTGGAGATTAATGATATATATGTAATGAAATATTATATAATCTATTTTATGCAAACGCTTGACAGTATTGGTGGTGCATTTGGCTAGATTTTTCGTAGTGAGCTAGTAACAAAGACTGTAAGTCATATTCATATGAGAGCATATTTTTGGATCCCACTTGTCAGTATAAGAGCAGACAATTGTAATTATTACAACTTCACCTAATTCCTAAATCTCCAGTTAGTCAACTTTATCATTAATTTTGAAAATTACCTGTTAAGTTTGACCTTTGGAAAGTAGTTAGGTGTCTTTTTTTTTTTTTTTTTTAACCTTGTATTCACTTCTTCTATGCTTCTCATAAATCTTATTCATGGTTCCTTAAAAGACAGCAGACCAAAGCAACTCAATGTGCTGAATGACACTATTGTTTTGTTCCAGTGTCAGTTTTAACTCATGCTCTTAATTCTTTATTTTCTTTTGAAGGACCTGCCTTACTTACAGTGATGAGAAAATTGTTGCCTATTGTTGTATGGTCCTATTCACCTGTCTTAATTCAGAGAAAGTGAGAGACCTGCTGGATCCTGGGAACTTGACTGTGCCTCTCCATGTTCTGAAAGTCTACAAAGAGGAGCTGGAGACGGAGTGGTCGTACGTATCTTTAGATTTCTTTTTTTTCCTCTTAAATAATTGTTCCTGTGGCGTGAATTTCTGTATTAATGGTCCGAATTTGTGATGCTGATCGGCCGTAAGTGACAATCTATTTAGAAGTCTTTAATTTGGAATAAAGATTGTTTTCATAATACTTTTACTGACTCTGTTTTGAATCCGTAAATAAGACACAAAATAAAACCACACTTTTGTGGAGAATATAGAGAGGAATTTTAAAATCATAACTCTTATTTCATTAAAAGAAGAACAGACTATATAATGCAAATTAATCATACTTCTATGTTAGCTTATGGAGATTTCTAAAGGAAAGCTGCTAAAGCAGAAAATAGTCTTTTTGGGGCATACTAGGAAGGTTTGTGTGACTAATGCTTGAGTACTGCATGCAAGTTTTTTGAATTTTTACAGATGTGTTGTCTTTATGCAACATGCAATTATTTTTACACAGAAAGAGAGCAAACGTTCTGTGTTTGTGAATCTTGAAAGTTTTGGGTTTTTAGTTTGAGAACATAATCCGTGGTTTAATTCCATTGAGCTTTTATTTTTGCTAATGGCCATTCTTGTAAACATTGTTGTCAATTATGCTTTTGAGAAATATTTGGTCCTACTTCAGCAAGGATACACATAATTCATTTTCATGTGAGGCATTCCAAAGAGGGGAAGACAAGGATAGTGAAAACAAAAGTATGTTTATTTTTTTTGTAACTTTCTTTGGAGGTCATCTTTAAATTCAGTTAAATTTAATTAGGAAGAGTTGTTAGAGTTTTAGTGGCTATTTGGAAAGTCTTCCAAACAGACTTATTGAATGAAATCCAGTTGTCATTTAATAGCTTGCTTTTGTTTTGATTTTTATTTAAAATTTGTTTGTGGGTAGGCTTTTTTCATAACCAGGTCATGTTCAGGACACAGATAGTTTTCGGAAAGCAAAATGTAATGTTTCAGGGTCAGGTGACCAGATTACTATTTCGAAAGTGACAAACTGAGTTTTTAACTTTGGCCTCAGTCAATATAAATGCATGAAATGTAGTTTGCTTTTCAGATAATTGTATTGATTATCCTTAATTTTCTTTATATATTGCAAATATGCCTAAATGTATTTTGAATAATATATGAGAGCCGAGGAAGACTGGAACAGGTAGTCATTCTATTAAATTTATATTTTGGAAGTAATTGAAAAATAAATGCAGTATCAAAATAAACTCTGAGCTAGCCGTTTTCCTGATCTTTGTAGTCTGAATTGCGTACTGTTGACTTTGTAAAGAAAACGTCTTCCTTTGCCTTACCTCTTCTACGCATATTTGATACTCGGAGCGGGGGTGAGTGGTCTTTCTTCAGAGTAGCTTTGAAATTAAGAAGGGGCAAACTTCTATATAAGACCATGATGAGGGAGAAGAGGTGGGTAGAAAAGATTAACCATAGGCCCACCATAAGGCAATTTCAGAATGCTTATCCCTTAATTTCCTTCAAAATACCAAGTTTTTCATACAGTAAATATACGAAAAGCAGTGGAATACTTTCCAGGCATTAAGCAAATAATAAATTTGTTTTTCTTTCATAGTACTTTAACATTGGCTAGTTTAGTCTCAAAGCTCTTTACCAGTTTTCCCAAGCGAAAGAAAAAAACATGACTCTGTAGCATAAGGTTCTTGGCATTTTACACAGTCGTCTTGAATCTGAATTATAAATGGTAATCTTTCAGTAATGTTGGCACTGTTTTTGGAGTCAGCACACATGAAGTGCATTCACAAATGGAAAGTATAAACCAGAAGTGTACTGCAACAGTGCAATGTCAAGTATTGAATAGACGTTCAAACAGTGTTAGCTTGACTGAAAGGATAAAAGAGAACTTCTTGACCGAAAGGAACCTCTTTTTCTGTTTGTAGTTTTAGCCTCTGTCCGTTTGATACATCTTGTACTTACTTTTCTCTGTTTCTTGATCCTCACTTCATTTCTCCTTCTAATATCCTATTTCTTATTTCTTCCATTTGAAGGAACATGTTTATTCTCTGATTCTCCCTCACTTTTATCTGTTCTTATTGTGAGGCAAAAAAAACCCTCATAGCTGAGGGTAGTGTAAATGGCAAAAATGTTTTTGTTCTTCATATTAAAGATGAGTTACTGGAGAAAAAAAGTTATTTCCATCTTGAAAGAAACTACAATATTCAGACACTTGAGTATATGTAGTATCATTGTCCTGTTTGTTGAGGTTCCGGAAGGAGGAAGCTTTAAAAAAAAAAAAAAAGTGAAAATGTTTTAAAAGAAAAACCAGAATTGTTGGTTGAAAAAGTTCATCTCCATATTTTCGATGGAAATCTGCTAGTATATACCTTTCTTTACACAACACTAGTTTAAGTAAAGTGTTGTTTTTTTCTGGAGAAGAAAATCCAGAAGAAATCTCCAGAAGAAATCTGGAGATTTTTTTGGTTATGTGTATAGGTTTTTTGTTTGTTTGTTTCTTGTTTTGTTTGTTTTTCAGCTAGCCACAGATGACTGTGACTAGTCACATTAATGTAATGCTTTGATCTTAGACTGTATGCGCAACTTGTGGAACTATATTACATAGTGTAGTTTTGCATAGTTAAACGTTTGGGAGAGCTGAGCAAGCTAGTAGTCTTGTTTCAAGTAGAACAATCATTGTAAAGATTTTTGCAATATGTGATGTTTGCACATTATCAAGATTTCTTCTTGCCTATACTTAACTGCTGCCATACAGCAGAAGTCATTAAAGCTTTAGCGTTAATTACAGAGGATATCCATTTAATCTTATGAATAACTGACTACATTTTCACCAGGTGCCTGCAGCTTGTATCTTGGATTCTTCTTATTTGCCTTTTTTTTTTATCAAGTTCACATTTGTAAAGCACCTATCAAAGAATGCTTGAGCAGTACACCTGAAGTGCACTCAGCCAAGCCTTCTAGCCCAAATATTTTTATTTTCTAAAGTATTAGAATATGGTCTGTCATAAGGATAGTCTGAAGGTGGATCTGCAAGCCTATTGCCTTTATTACTGTTAATTCTTTTATTGAGGTGAATGCAGATGGATGCAATCATATGGGTAAAAGTAATGCTTGCTTTTTTTTTTTTTTTATGATGTTACCATAGCTCAGCATCTTCAAGCACTGAGATGAAAACTACCTTTTAGTGAATAGTTAAGGATAAGCTGCTGTATCTGAGGGCTTAGATATGCAAGTGAGTTTCTACCTTTCCTCACTTTGAGGTATATTCATAGCCTATCATACCTCCTCTTCTTTGAGAATTAAAATGTTTAAAGTAAAACTTCCATTTGCAGCATACTCATGCTGTTAACTGTTCAGCTAATTTATAGAAACTTTCTCATGTATCTGAGGCCTAATTTTTCAAAATAAGATTTGTAACAGTATAAGTAAGTTCACAGTTTACTTCACGTGGTAGTTATGAAGGAATGAGTTTTTTGGCTTGTTCAGAGCACCGTGAAATGGACAAAAACATTATTTTGAACTCTAGGTAACCACTCATTCGAAGCAGGTTATTTGGCTAAGGAGTCTTTCTTCTGCACCATGCATATAGGAGGAGCTGTAGAAGGGGTTTGTGCCCAGTGTCCTGAAAGACTCTGAATACATCCTTACAGATGGACCAGTTCTGGCATCCTCCATCCTAATAATGTGTGTGTGGCAGCTTTCCTGGCTGCTCAGTGACCTCTTCTGTTCTAGTCAGTAGAAGCTGTCCCAGCCCTTGACTCATGCCTTGTCACTGCACTGAACGCTCTGGCTTGGTTTTTTTTAGCTCACAGAAGCCAAACCAGCATATGAACTCTTTTATTGATCTCTTGGCTTTTAGCTATCTTATAATGTGGGAGAAGGTGCCAGGCTAAGTCTTCTGTTGATTCCCATCTGTTGTTTCCAAACGTGCTGCATCTCCTTTCTCTAGGAAACTGTTGTGAACGTTTCACTGTTCACCATTTACTAGCCTGCAGTACTGCTCCATTCTTGTGGTCAGGCAGGGCAGGCATGCTCCTCTCTGTCATGAGTGAGCTGGACTTCCTTTGAGGGGCCAATGACCCTGTGGTAGCTGTAACTTAAGACTACATTTGCCTGGGTCCTGAAATGACTTCCTGACATGTACTTTGCTATGAACAAAGAAGATTCCAAATAAGTAGGATTACTTATTTTTGTAGGAGGAATGCTATTTATTTTGGCTGATGAAATTCACATACTCTTTTCTTTGGTGTCAGAATGTTTTTTTGATAAAAGACAAGGCAAAAGCTAAGCTTTGCTGGGTCAGTGTTGGTCCTGATACGTAGTAATACTGTCTCTTTGTGATAACTGTTGGACTTGTATAGGTTTTGATGTGCCTTATACTGATAATAAGCTCACGAGAGCTGCCTGTCTCTGAAAAGTTTTTTGGTATTGGAATTACAGCTTTCTGCAATTAGATGTGTGAAAGACTGATGCAATCATTGTTGGTCTCTGGCATATTGCTATTGTTGCTTTGGTATCCATTTTTAGTGTTGCATATAATCTTTTTGGGTCAGACTCATACTTGGTTTATTACTAAAACACATTTTTCCTATCTAAGAACTGTGCTACTTCCCCATGCAGAAGGACGTGCAGCAAATACAGCCAGGTAAAAGTACATAAGAAGATTTTTGTCTTTTTTCTCATTAAACTAAAGCTAAGCTTTGAATGCCTCTCTGGCCGGACTGTAAAAAAATATTTTTTCAGCAATTCATTGAAAATTTGGAGCTGTACTTTAGCTCTCACTGAAGTACATACCACTAGGATTGCTTAAACGAATTTACATAGCCGCGGTATTTGCAGTGGAGCCAGTACTTTGTTGTAAAGATTTGGGTCCCTTGTGCCGCAGCTACCACAGTGCACAGCAACCATTTTTAACCAGCTGTTATGGTATTATATGGCTGAGCTGAAATACAAACTATTCTTTCAGGAGGTTATGCTCTCTGCTGGTTTCATAAGTGACTGAATTTAAGATGTTCATACTTTCA